TTTTTTTTCAATGAAACTTTATATTTTTTCGTTTGGCTTTTGTTTTTTTTTCTACTTGTCATTTGATGATGATTTTGTTGTTGTTTTTTTCGCACGAAAAACTCATGAGGATTAATAATCATAATGATAATCATCATCATCAACACTGTTTGGGTGGGCGGGGGTTAAAATGAGGGGGAATGGAAGAGATAATGAGAATTTGTGGGTGTGTAAAGTTGTTGTTGTTGTGAAGTGTGATCTCGAAATCCCTCCTCCTCCTCCAAACAAAGTTGATTTGAATCAATTTAAAAAAGTTTTTTTTTTCGGAAATTTTTCTCATTTAATTTTCACAATGAATAATCAAACGATAACAAAGCTAAATGAATGAATGAAAAAAAACTTTCCATAAACAAGGAAAACTTTCCGATAATCTTGTTTATGGAAAGTTTTGTTTTGTACGGAAGTAATTTTATTTATTTTTCACTTCACCAAATTCAATAGAATAAAGGATTAAAGGAAAATTTTGGGAACTTTTTTTTGCACAAAAAACAAAACAAAAAATTAATCAATCAATCAATAATCTCTTCCTATTTTTTTACGGAAATTTTCTCATCTAAAACAAACTAATAGAGAACGAGAAGAAAAATGTCACTAATGAAGGATTTTTTTTCCCAACTGCTTTTTTCAATGATATTTTGAAATGGTGACCTATTGGGAAATCAGTGGCTGTTTGCTGTTTTTTCATTTTTGACAAAATCAAAAATCGATCATAAGATTCGAAAATGTAGTCTCTGGCCAGAACCGAGAATCCGAAACAGAGAATATTCTCTGTTCTAGTCAGTTGAGAAAAGAAGAAAAAGAAGAAAATTAAAATGAACATCAACAACAACCGCAAGCTACAAACCACAAAAAAAACATTTTCTTTAAAAAAAAAATTCTTGATTTGAACTTTTCTTGGAAAACTTTTCAACTTCAAAAAAAGCAAAAAAAAAGAAGAAGTGATTTTTGTATGGAAAAAGTCCTCGGGAGATTTTTCCTTCAGTTTCTTTTAAATTCAATTATATTTTCTTTGAAATTTTCTTGCTTCATTGATGATGTTTACCATTCCATGATATTGGGAAAAAGCAAAAGTAAAAGTAAAATCTTATTATGTTTATTATGATGATGTTTTTCTTTAGATTAAAATCGAATCACCAAATAAAAAAAAACAAACTTACGAAGAAGAAATTCGTTTGGAACGTGAAATATCATGATATGGGGAGAGAGAGAATCGTGTGTGTGTTTGTGTGTCATTGAGAATTCAATCTCACACGGGAGTAAGCGAGAGAGAGAGAGTGAGAGAGAGAGGCCATTGGCAATTTTATCAAAACAACCAACAACAACAACAGCAAAAAAGTTTATTTCAATTTCGAAATTCTCATGATGATTGTCATTGATGACATTATCATGATGATGATGATCATCATCATCGGCAATGTTTCGGCAAAAAAGAGAAGACATTTGCATACATAACTAAATTAAACTACCAAAAAAAAAATCGTGATGTTGATGATGATGATGACAATTCAATTTTGAACATTAATTTTATTGATTTTTGCATATGAAAAGAAAGAGCGGAGAGAGAGCGAGAGAGAGAGAGAGAGAGCGGGAAATTCATTATCATCATCAAAAAAAACGAATGTAAATTACAAACGAATAATAATCATTCAAAAAAGTGAAAAAAAAAAAGATTTTTTTTTCGATTCGATTCGAACGTCATCAATACTATCGAAATGGTATCGATAGTATCGATATCGAAATAGGAATCGGATTTGTTTGTTTGTTTATTTGTTCATTGTTACAATTTGAAACAGATAACATTCACATAGAATATTCTTTTTTCTCTCCATGAATTGAAAAGAATTTTGCTTTTCAATTGTTCGACAGAATTGACAATAGAAAAAAAACACCAGAGTCAGATTCTTTTTCGGAAATTCTTCTCCGGTATATTTCCATTTCTATTTCGATTCAATATTTTTGATTGTCTGACCTGACAAAGATGATGAAAGTTTTTTTGTTCACAAAGATTTTGTTTACAAATTCTTTTCCCCACCAAACCAACAACAACAACAATTCAAACATTGAAACGAAATACAATAGGATTTTTCTCTTTTGACAAAAAAAATAGTGAATTGAAAATTTAAAAAAAAAACTTTAAAATGGAGAAAAAAAGAGTTTATTTTGCTTGTTTGTTTGTTTGTTTGTTGAAAACTAGACAGAAAAAAAACTGATAAAATACCTATTCCCTATATGATTCTTTATGGTTCTTTATGATTCTTTTTGACTGGTTTGGTGCGTGGGGGTTGAAAAAAAAAATAAAGAATTGAAATTGATTTTTTTTCACTTGTCAAACAACAACAACAAAATCAATTTGATTGCAACCGAAAAAGAAAAAAACTTTTTCTCATTTGTTTATTGACTTGAAATTTTGTTTTTTATCAAAATGAAAAATTCATTGCAGAATATGGATGAATGGAAATTGAATGGAAATTTTCAAATGTTTTTTTTCAGAAGAAGAAGAAGAAGAAGAAGCAGAAAGGAGAACGAAAAATGAAATTCCAAAGATTCGATATGCTTTTAGGATTCTGTTTGTGTTTGAATTATTCATATTCGGTTATTTATCCAGCGTCAAAAAAAAATGAGAATCAAGAGAGGGAGGGAGAGAGAGATAGAAATTCATTACATTTTCCAAGGCGTCACACCGCCCACATTTTTCCGGATTCATCATCATCATCCTTCATCAAACTCATCCGTCATAATCATCGTTTTGGATTCAAATGAAAAAAAAATGAAATTTTTTTTGTTTGATAATATCGAATAATGACAGTGAAGCCAACATTTTCATTGTAAAGGGCAAATTTTTGTATATAAAACAGGGTGTTTGTTGGAATTTTTTACAGGGTGTAAGTACGTTCATACGTACGTAATAAGTATTTGATTATGATAACAGGATGAAACTATGAAAATTTTTGGGAGAGAGAGAGAGAGAGAGAGAGACAAATTCCTTGGAAATGAAATTGTTTCTCACTATTTATTGAAAATGAAAATCATTTTCAATTCATCATTTAAACAAAAAAAGATAATAATTTCATTTCAAATAATAATAAGCACACATGATATCCTGTAGATATGATTGCAAAACAAAACCAAGAAAACCAAGAAAACCAACCAACCTAGCCTGATTATAATATCATTATATTTTTTTTGATAATAATGAATGACAAAGAAGACTGAATTATTACACTGAATTGTCAACGAGATTCTTTCTTTCTTTCTTTCATCAGTGACGACCCAGAAACAATGATGATGATATCAAATTATAATTCGATGCAATTGCGAAAGCAAAAAATGAATGAATGAATGAAAAGAATCGAAAAAACGAATGAATTCAGAATGTGTGAAAATAATAAGCAAAAAGAAATTTACATATTCAAATCGGATTTTTGGGTAGCAAAATAAATGGAGAAAAAAATTTATAAAAAATGATGATTGAGTGAGTCGAAATAGTCAAAAAATTATTTGTGTGTGTAACATTACCAATTGATATGTAGTCAATCCGATCACTTCGATATAACCATCATCAGTTTTTGGTGTTTGAAAATTGGATGGTGCAGATGATGTTGGCCATGGTCGTGTACCACCACCGTAGCTGTGTATTTGGAAATAAAAAAGGAGAAAAAGAGAAAAACATCAGAAAATTTTCAAAAAAAAGGTAATTTTATTGAACTTTTTTGATCAATTTTGATTATCGGTTGTCAGAAATTGATTGAATTGAAGGAGAAATTTTTTCAGGTGTTTTTTATCCCTTGAATATTGAATTTTATTAACATCGACAGTTAGGTAGAAATGGGAAAAGTTTCCAGAAAAACATTATTGGGAAACAAAAAAGAAGACAAAAAACTTTTTTCAATTGACAATCATTATTCGAAGAATCAAATTAAAGATTCACAAACAAAACAAAACGGTAGGGAGAAATGAAAAGATTTCCAAATTCAAAAACAATATGCACCCAAAAAACTAAAAAAAAATCATTGACAACAACAACGATTGAAGCACGCAATCAATGATTTATGTGTAGCAGCAGCAATATTTATTCTTTTGATTCCTGCTGCTGCTGCTTGGTTAATTTGGAAATGTGCACCTAAAACAAAACCAAAATAAAAAGAAAGAGAAACAAAATAATGGAAACAAAACTTTTCCAATTTAGCCAATGTCTTATTGAAACAACGAAGACGATGAAGATGAAGATAAACGAAAGAAAAATGGCAAAAAAAAATCGAAATGAAAGAAATATTACATAACACGCACACACTGTGTTAACCAAATAACAACAACAAAAACATTGGAAAAAGAATAATGGAAAGAATTTATCGATGTGTGTGTATGTGGGGAGGGAGAAAATCAAATCAGAATCGTATCCAGAATGTAAGAAAAGAAATTACCCAAAATACAGGGTGTTTTCGTAAGTGTGTGCATATTCTTTTGAAAATTTTCAAATCAAAAGGTTCGATAATGTTGTTGTTGTTGTTGTTAATTTTTATAAAATTAAATTTCGAACTAAATAATATCGAATATAAATTACAAAGCAGTCAAATTACAAATGAAAGTAATTTTGTTTTTTTCCAAATTATCAACAAACGAAAAAAATGTCAATTTTCAACCGAAAACAATCAACAACAACAATCTCATTGAACATAATCATCATCATAATGATCAACATGATGATGAATCCTATCATACAAACAAAAATGATATTAGAACAAAAATCAGATCAAGTTTCAGCAACACATATGTTTCGTAATTATGAATGGTCCGAACAATTAGAATGTCAAAAACAATTGGATAAAATATTAGAAAATACAATAACAATAGCAACAATTGGTAATGAATTATTTCGATTACAAACGGATCATAAAATTGCTGTTTATACTAATCTACAAAAACGTTTTGATTCACATAAATATCGTCTGCAATTAATCGATCCAATTGGTTTTAATGAATATGATTATTATCAATATGATTATAATCGAATTCTATATCATCCAATATCATCAATACGTGCAACAATAACAGCAGATTATCCAAGTGAATTAGGTGTAGAATTGGCAATGTTTCAACAATATCCAATTATAATACATTTTTTTATTATACATCATGATCAGAATGATGATCATGTTGATTATCAACGTTTATTATATTATGAATGGAAACAAAAAATTCATATTGAAAATTTTGGTAAACATACGGATAAAAATCGTAAAATGATTAACCTGATAAATATTTCTATAAAAGGTATTTATTATCGTTTCATACAATTTAATGAAAATCCAAACATAATTGAAGTATATGAATTTAATGATTTAAAAAATGAATATGCAAAATTATGTGTATCGTTGGAATTGGAACAAATCTATCTTGAAGCTAATATTGAAAAATATTGTTTTTCAAAATCGAATGATAATCAAATAAATCAAACAACATCATTATCAACAATGGCGGAAATATTTTTAAAATTAGAATTTGGTTTTAATATTGAAAAAAAATTATATTTAATGTCTATAAAAAATCGATTATTATTTATAACTGATATAAAATTACTAATTGATTTGACTGAAAAATTTTCATTTAAAAAATTAAATTTTAATGAATTTTTCTATTGTGGTCATGAACATCAACAACAACCTGAAACTGAAACAACAACAACAAAATCCAAATCAAATCGATCCAAAATCCATATACCCGATTATAATCGAATCTATTACCGGAAACCAAAAATGCAAAAACCAAATTCATTACATGCATTTATTGAAATTATAATTGGGATAAAATTATTATTCATTGCTACTTATATTATATTTACAAATTATATATTAACAACATTTGAAATGAATCAATGGAATTATCATAATTTGATTGGTTTAAAATCATCAACACCACCAGCAGCAGCAGCTACACCAGCATTACAAATCGGTAGTAATAATATGGAACAAATAAAACTACAACAACAATTATTTATGGAATTATTACAAGCTAAACAGATTTTAATGAAAGAACAACAGCAAAGATTTTTTAAATTACAACTACAACAACAACAACAACAAAAACAACAATAAGGACAGGGTTGAAAGGTGTTAAAAAAACTTTTAAAAAAAACTTACCTTGGTATATTAAGAAATAAAACCGAATGTACTTTAAGTTCTTTTAAACGACCAGTATAATCTTTACCATCACATTCTAAATGTACATAATTACATAAATCTTTCCATTTACGTTGCAATAGATCTTTACCACCAGCTTGTCCATAAAACATTTTATTTCGTAAACGTGAATTAAAACGTTCTGGATGTGCTTCACGTGCTTCATGAAAACTTAATGCAATATGTGCATCAACACCGATTGAAAAATAATTATTAACAACATCCAATGGTAGATTATGTTTTGCACCTTTATTTTCATCTAATAATTGTTGTGATTGTTGTTGTTGACATGATTGATTTGGTTGTACTTTTAAATTCCAACGATCTAATTGTACAATTTGTCCATCTTGAATATTGCAAAGAATTTTTGCAATTGGTTCATCCGTATATGAACCACCCCAACCAAATGAACGTGCTAAATCATTACCAGTACCAAGTGGTAATACCGAAATTGGTGGTGGTGGTTGAATGGCAATTTCATCGATAACAGATAATATCCAACCAGCCGTACCATCACCACCACATGCTAAAATACGTAAATTATGTACTTTTTTATATAAATCCAGTCCTAATCTTGGTCCACTTTGACTTAAATCAAATACTTGTCTTGGATTCAGATGCCATTGAAATTTTTGTATTAATTTTGAACCTTGATTACCACCGGATTTTGGATTAATAAACACTAATAATGGACGAAGATTTGCCGATGGTATTGGTTTGATTACAAACGATCGATGTACATGTTGTAAATATTGTTCAACACGATTATTAACAACAGCAATTGAATTTGTTGGATGATGATGATGATGACCAGATAAAAGATTTGTTTGTCCTGGTATTTGTGAACCATTCAAAATAGATGATGATGATGATGTTACATTTGCATGACTATGACGACGATGTCTTTGAATACGATTTGGATTTGAATTAGAATTTTGATTTGCAGAAGAATTATTGCTATTCGTAACTTGGGTGTAAATAGTGATCGGTGTTGTTGCTATTGCTGTTGATTTTAATGGTGGTGATGATGATAATAATGGTAATTCTTCATTCAAATCATCATTATTATTACAGATATTATCACTATTCAATATTGATGATTGTTGATTATTATCATCAACAACATTACCATCATTATTATTATTATTGATGATAATCGATGATAAATTATTAATGGAATTCAATTCATTATCAAATGAATTAATCGATTGAAGTTTAGTGGATTGTAATTGCGATGAGGATGATGCTAATGGTGGTTCTTTTTGTGGTAAAGGTGGTGGTGGCTGTAACGGTGGCGGTGGTGATGATGATGATGATGATGTGGATAAAAAAGAATCAGACATCACAGTGTTAGTAATGGTTGTTGTTGTTGTTGCAGATGATGCTTCTGTTGAAGCCGATTGTGAAATGGAATTCAAAATCGGTGATGATAATGGTATTATTGTTGGCTGTAAAGATGGTTGTTGATTCAACAATGCACATGATTGTAATAATGATGAAACTGATGATGATGATGATTGTGGTGTTGTTGTTGTTGTTGAAAATGTTGATAATGATGATAATGATGGTGGTGGTTGCTGATGAGGTGGTTTTGGAATCGTTTGATGCGGTGTTTGTGGTGGTGGTGGTGGATAAAAATCTTCAGCCACTACTGTCTGTGCATTGATTGGAATTACATTCAAATTATTCACTGCTACTGATGGAATTGTTGTTTGACCATTGGAATTCAAAGGATTAATAACATTGTTTTGGGCACTATGAATCGGTGATGATGATGATAATTTATTCGTTGACAATGGTGTTGTCGTTGTTGCTATCGAAGTTGTTGGTGTTGTTGTTGATGATGATTTACTTGATGAACGTTTTTTCGATGATAAACGTTTATTACGTGGTGTACGACGTATTGATGATTTAAATGATCCCTGTTTTGTGTTTGTTTGGGGTTAAGGATAATTTTAGAAGAGAGAGAAAAAAAATGAAATTTTTAAATGGAAATTTTCAAATTTGAAAGAAAAAAACTTTTCAGAAAACAATTTTCCCGAAACATTTCTGGGAATACCTTCAAGGTAAAAAAAATCTCATTACAAATTCATTAAATCCACCACTAGATCCTCAGGTTTTCATTTTAAAAAATGTCAAAAGCAAAGCGAAAAAAAAACTTTTGACATCAGCATTTTTTTTGTCTATTTCAACCCAAGTGGGTGTATTATGGAAAAAAAAGATAATAAAATCAATAAATTTGTCAACCTTTCAAAAAAAATAGAAAAGAAAAAAATCAACATCATTATCATTTCTGAACTGAAGAGAAAAACATTCAATTCAATCTTGATCATCAATTTTTTTTCCTATCTCAAAGTTTTTTCGAAGCTCGAAGCTTGAACCAAAAAATTATTTAAATCAACATTTTTTTTTGTGATGACAACGACAGTTTTCTTCGTTGCCGTAAGGTAGAAATAGTAGAAAAAAAAATCATTTTAAAACCCAGAAAAAAAACGAACGACTTTTCAATTTTCAGCCGAAATTTTTTCCTTGCTAAAACCAGAATTTATCGATCCAGAAACTTTCAATCAATCAAAAAATCGCAAAATTGAATTAGAAAACAAACAAACAATTTCATCATTCCAAAAAAGATTCTATCCATAAAGAGTGTTACCAGTGTGTACTGTCATTTATGAATTATTAATGTTCATCAAGCAAGCAAAAGAAAGGGAAAAAAAAGATCATTTCAGCTAATAATAATTATCATTTTTTATTTACAGAATTCAGTTGCCATCGTTGTTGTTGTTGTCAATTTGATGAAAAAAACTAAAACTAGACAGAATTCCTTTTTCCCAAACCAGAATAATAAAATTTAATAATTTACAAGCATCATTCTGTTGATGATGATGGTAGAGGTTGGGTAACAAGATTTTTTCATTTTCCTTTTTTTAAATAAAAAATTCTATTATCGTCATCATCAAGATGATGATGATCACCATCACCATCATAATTAATGAATTCAATTTTCAAAGTAAATTAACACAGAGAAAAACTAGAAACAGGAACAGAATCAAGGTCAGTTATGGGTTATTTTTCAATCAATCAAATCAAATCAAATCGATCGATCTTAAGTAACGGCAGAATAGAAGCACGAGAAAAAAAACTGAAATAATTTAATTAAAATTCTGAATGGGAAAAAATTTTCTGAATGGGAAAATTTCCTGAAAGGAAAAATTGATCGAAATAATGAATTTCAGGAAATTGGAAATTTCCTGAAAATATGGTGATGGTGATGGTCAATTTTTTTTGATAAGAAAATCATATCAAAAATTGATTGGTTTTTTTTCGGCCAAAAAATAACATCAAACAGATCGAATGAATGAATGAATGAATGATCATTTGACCGAAAACATTCCAACTGAAAGAAATTTATCGGGAAACTTTTTTCTTTTGGGGAAATTTTCCAATGAACAAAAAATCCAAGAAACCAAAATAAAATTCAAACAAAAAAAAACTTTCATTTTGAAATTTCAATTTTTTCTTTCCAGGTTTTTTTTTCATTCAATCCGGTTGTGATTTACATAAACAAACAAACAAACAAACACTAATGAATCTTAATGAAAGTTAATTATAAAAATTAAAATAAATGTTAATGAATGCATTTCATTATTATTTGTAATTTGTAATTCTTGTGATTCATTACAGATCTTAACTAATCAGTGAGGTTGGATTTTTTGTTTGTATGTGATGCTAGCTAATTAAATAACATACATTGCTGTTAATGAACAAAAAAAAAAAAATCAAAAAATCAAAAATCAAATAAAAGAAATCAAAGTAATGAAATGATTTTCAGTTTTTCTCTCCACCGTAACATCTCAATCAAACATAATCATCACTGTGGATTGTGTTTTGATGAAAAAAACAAAAATGAAAAAACAAAAACGAGAAAAATTTCTCTCGCCAGTTTTACATGAATTATTCACAAAAAAATGGGACGTAAAACGTAAATAACAACATTTTTTGTTTTGTTTTGTTTTTGATTTTTTTTTATATATTTACCTTTCTTGGTAATTTAACAATCCATGATGATGGTACAATAATACGACGATATAAACCAAAATCACAATTATCTTCTAACATATTTTTTGTAAAACAAGGTTCTTTATTATGATATGATGATTTACACCATGAACAACTAACAGCAACCACTTCCTATTAGTTATTCGTAGTTTGCCAATGTAGTAGTTTGCCAATGTTTTCCATTTTATTTATTTATTTTATTTTGAATATCGTTATGATAATGATGAGATGGTGGATGATTTTTTTGTTTTGTTTTTGAAGGTAGGAAAAATGCCAAAAGGTAACATAAAAAAGTAGTAGAAAAAAAAATAAATATGAAATATTAATTTTCGGATGATAAAATAATAATAATAACAACAACAAAACAAAACAATAACAACAACAACAAAGATAACAACAACAACAACAACATCAATACAGCCAAAGGGTACTTGATATTTTCAAATATTTTCCAAATATTGTTCGTTGTTGTTGTTTGTTGTTCAATGTTGTTGTTGTTTGTTGTTTTTCAATAACAATGTTTTTTCTCTCTTTCTTGTCTGAATACGAACCTTATTACCGAATGATAATTTTGATTGAAATGAACGGCCACAATGTTTACAACGTCCTTTTTCATGACGACGATGTACCCAATGATGTTTAACAAATGTTTGCTAATTTGAAACAAAACAAAAAAAAAATATGAAAAAGCAACGAAAAATCAATTAATTAATCGAATGTGAAGAAAGAGTGGATCCTCGAATAATGATAAACAACGAAACAAAAAAAAAAGTGTAGAGATTAATCAATAATATTGATCATTAGTGAAATATGAGATGAAAAATTGGAAAAACAATGACAAGATGCGGCTGCTGCAGAAAAACAAAACAAGACAAAATTGGCAAGAATTCGTAAACATAAAACTAAAAATAATAATAATTAATCAGACGGGAAAATTTCTGGAAAAAAAATTCTGGAAAACCCCGGTAAGATCTTTAGCTGGGTTTTTGAAAACAAAAACGATGCGGCTAAAAAACTTTATTTTTGTTTTGTTATTTTTCGATGCTTGTTATACATCGTCGATGATGCTCAATGTATTTTTGTTTTGGTGAAAAATGAGTGAGAAATTTCCCGAGAAAAATTGTTATTTTTTTCTCCTGCTATTGTCCAATTAGAAGGTTTTTTTTTGTTGATCTGTCAAACAAAAAAAATTGACAGCTCGAACAAAACAAAACAAAAATCATCTTTATCCCTATAATAGTCATTATCTCTTCTATCGCTTTTCCGGTAAAGTTTCCGGAAAATAATTTTTCTTGTCATTATTTTTTTTTCTGGAAAATTTCTTTTTTTCGTTTAAAAATAAAAAAAAACAGATAGGTAATAATATAGAAGAACAAACCTCACGATATTGACGAACACCATCTTTAAATGTTGGTTTACATTGAAATTTCATATTATCAATCAATATCGATATACAACCAGTATGTGCTGTTACTTTACATGCTGGGCAACAAAGTCTTGGTCCAATTTTCTAAATGGAAAATTAAATTAATTTCAAAGTAAAAAATCAAAAGTCAAAGTCAAAAGTTAAAAGTCGAAAGTCAAAACAACAACAAAAAAAACACATACAGTGCATTTATTTTCACCAACATAACAAAGATCACTGCCCGATGTTGATGTTGATACCCAAATATGATCACCAAGTATTGCCGATTCCTGGAAAAAAGAGAGAAAAAAGTGTTTCAAAAAAAAAAAATATTTCAAAAAATCCCGGGAATATTCTTCAATGATAATTCCTACAGATCGATAACGAATCGATAGAATTCTGGCTAGTTTGCTTTACAAATTATAATCTTATCAATAGTCATCATCAATCATCATAAAAAAATGATTACTATGATTATAATTTTGATTTACAATTTGTTTTTGTTTTTTTTCGGGATTCCTTGTAAATGATCATCCCAATAATCAGATTGATTGATTATTGATTATGGAAGGGGGAGAAAATGATTGATCGATTCGATTTGATTCGATGAAATCGTAAATAACATGATTGATCAATCAAGTATTTTCAAATCAGAAACAAAAATAGAGAAGAAAAATGAAAAACACTTACCGTCCAATCGGGTGCCGAACGTAATACTCTGGTTTCACCATTTTCAGCCTGAATTTTTATCTCACCTTGTACAGTTTTTCTATTTGAACGAAACAAAAAAAACGAAAAAAAATTAATTTTAAATTTTCAAATCATGAAAAAAAGTTCAGAAAGAAAAAGTTCAGAAAGAAAAAGTTCAAATAAAGAAAAGAGAGCAAAGGGTTAAAATTCTTGAAAAAAATCGACCAAAGGGTTAAGTGTTTTTTTTTTGGCGTCTATTTTAACCTTATTAGTCGATTATCGACAAAAAATGATTGTTGATTATTCAATGATTGTAAAGATGATGGTGATGAATAAATAGTATGACGACGATGACGTTTTATAGCTAATCTTCGTTGATATGAATTCCATTTATATGATGATGATGATGAGGGTTTTTTATTTATAAAATTTTTCTTTTTTTGCTTATTGCGTAACGATAATGTTTCTTCAAGAATCTTATCACTATCAATGGTCGATAATGATGATGATGCTGTTGTTGATGATGAAACGTCATCACAATCATCACCATTATCATTGATAATTGATGGAATTTTTGTTGTTGTTGTTGTTCTGTAAGAATTTTTTGTTGTTGTTGTTGAATCATTTGTAACAAATGTAAAAAATTTGGCTGTTTTTCCTGTTGTTGTTGTTGTTGCTGCCATCGATAATAAACACATTGAATTAATATTCATTGTTGTTGTTGTTGTTTTTTCTCAGATTGTTATTCTTGGAAATCTTTCCAGAAAAAAAATGAACAAAAAATTTTTCTGTTTTTCTCCCGAAAACAGAAAAATAAAGTTAGTTAAGTGTGTGTGTGTGTGTAGGCAGGAACGGATGTATGATATGTGGGTGGTAAGTGTTGACAATTTTTTTTCAAACAATAATAACCAGAAAAACAAACAAACAAAAAAAACTTCCGGGAAGTTTTTTTTTAATTAAATCAAACAAAAAAGAAATTAACCTGACGACGGAAATAAACACCGTCGTAAGAGATTTTCAAAAATGTATTCAAAAGTTCAATCAAGTTCAAGTGTGTTTCGGTTTTTGAAAAAGAAGAATCAATAACCTAAAGAATTTCAATGTCAATGACGTTGATCGTTTGATTGATTGATAGAAAATTTTCGAAAAATTTCTTCAACCAAACAATGACAAAACGTCAATGATTTGGGAAATCAAAATGCAAAAGGCCGCGAAATAAATTTCGAAAATGAAAAATGTTTTTCGGTTCTTTTCTCGACCAGAAAAAAAATAACCCGATGATGATGATGATGATGATAAATCCTTGAAAACGAAAAACCTTGAAATAAAAATAGAAACTTTGCGAAAATTGCGAAATTCAATAGAAAAAAAAACAGAATTTTGAATTTTGAAAAATTACCATTCGCATTGAATAAATGGCAATGTTTTTTTTCGGCTATTTCGACTATTTCTGTCTTCTGTATTTATTTCGATGATCAATGTTTCTTTTGACTCTACGACTTTTCTCTCTCTCTCTCTCTCTCTCTCTCTCCCACTGATCTCTGGTTTTTTTCTGGTATCCCTTCGATATAAATCATTGAAGATGCTCTGAACAAAAAACACTGTTTTTTTAATAACCATATCTTCTTACATTTGGAAACATCTTTATGATGTTTATTCATTCATTCAACCAGATTTCTCTGTTTGATTGCGGTGGGGGGATGTTTACAATCTTGACAACAAAAGCAATAGGAGGGGGGAAACCAAAGGAAAAAAAACTTCATGGTCTATTCTTGACGATGTTTATACAGTGTAAGTATATTATTTGTTGTACAAAAAAAATATCAAGAAAATGAAACAAACAAAACGTAAATATTGTCGTTTGTTGTTGTTGAAAAACATTGTTATATCAAGTATTAAACAAACATAGAGAAATGGAATAAAGTGAAGCAAAAACCTAAAGATTATTTCCGATTTCAAAAGATCAGATAGAAGAAAAAAACCAAAAGAGAGTGGGGGAAAGAATATTCTTTCATTTCACACCAACAAACAAGTCTAAATGAGATAAATATCCAACAACAACAACAAGCGAAAATGGAAATGGTCCAGAAAGAAGAAGAAAATCTTTTCTCATCATTTTTCTTTTTGTTTTTTGTTTTTTTTTTGTTTTTTTCTGGTTCTTCACAAAATGATTTGACAATGGTATTGAACCATAAAGATTTTTGTTTGTTTTTTACTTGATTACATTTTCACAATATAGTGAAACGAAGAAAACAAAGATCAAAATGATGATTCAGTTACACTTGAATCATCATTTTGGAAAAAACAAAATAAGAATATTCTGTCTTTTTTTCTCTCTTTGTGTATTTTCAAGCAACCAAAAATACAGGAGTTACTCGGTTGTTTGGTTGATAACAACCGAAAATGTAAACCAAAAAAAAGATCAAGTTTTTTATTGGTTATGTTAGGATGTTAGAGAGTAAATCAAATCCAAGAAAAAGAAAAAAAACATAGGAAAATTTTGGTTGCATATTCAAAGAACGAGAAAAAAGATTTTCGAAAAATGTCAAATTACGGAAATCGAAAAGAGAGAGAGAAACATGCATCTAATATTCATTGCCATAGAGAATCACAAAATGGACAGTCATCGTCATCAATCAAATTGATTCGATTTTTTTCGGGGAAAATGAAACAAGCAAAGTAAAGTAAAAAACGCATCAAACTAAATCGACTAAACCCACGGAAAAAACGGCCGTTAGAGAGAGAGAGAGAGAGAGAGAGAGAGAGAGAGAGAGAGAGAAAA